GTATAGTACACGAGTGATTGTGTCGCGGCGCGCGCGGTGTGCGGTAGCGGGAACAAGCTTGTATGGGAACAAGGTGATAGCCTTGGTCAAGGCTACCCTAGGCACCATCATGTTGATGCTAAAGTACTAGCACTGTACGAATCAGGCCCGGTCAAAATGGTATAGGTCCTAGCTCTGAAAGCCATCTTTCTACTGTCAATTACTGCACAAAGCCATGATGTTTTCACCAAGAAATCAATTTGCAAATTAAAAAGGCAAACTTTACAAGCTCAAATTCATATTCCTCATGTTCGGTAATCCAAATGGTTTCATGAGAATTGTATGCCACTTGAGCATTGAGTGCAGAGGCCGATCAAGAGGGGGCATTTGGAGGATTACAACCCTCCCCCTCCACCGCTGACTAATGCCATGACACTTCATTTCAATTCAAAGGCAACATTTATTTCCATACTTTCCACAAATACGTCAAACTAAGTTTTCAAATACAAAGAAGGTATTAATTGTAATCATTTAATAAATAATAATACAACAATGTAGTACAACGACTAAATATATTAAATAAGGGTGAAGTGTACGGGGCTGTTCATATCAACCGAAGCTTGTAGAGAACAGCCTAACACATAAATGGAAAATACAGGACAGTATACACAGACAATAGGAATAAACACGAAAACAGTCAAAGGGAAACTAAAGACAAGACAAAACAAAACAAAACACGAGACGGGACACTAAAAACCGAGACAAATTGAATAGTTGCGACACTAGTAATGTAAATATCGTACTTCATCGTGTCCAATAAACATTGTGCATGAAGACATCGCTGATTTTCTTAAAAAATGGTCAGACCAGCTAATCAAATTTTGTAGCATTTTCAAGCCTATGGTCTTGTTTATAACTGGTGACAAAATCAAGAAAATCCAACAATGCAAACCCGAGGTATCTTTGATTTGGTATAGGTATGTGTTACGCAGTGCTTGAAACATTGCACTTTGTGTAAAAAGATTTCATTCGTAAATGAATAAAACTAGAAACAGCATAGCTAGTTTATTTGATTGCTTATCGAAGAAGATTATTCAAAAACACGTGGTAAATTGCTCTAATTGCAAATCACTCGAGCGTCAACGTTGTATAGACCCTTTTAACGCTCTTTGTTAACATGCCTAATTGTGCAGGAAGAAAATATTATAGCCTTACCAAATCAACAATATCTCTGGTTTGCATTGATGAATTTCTTGATATTTTCACCAATTATAAACAAGATCAAAGGCTTTCAAATATAATAAAATGTGATTAGCTATTATGACCACCTTTTGAGAAAATCAGCGACTTCTTTATGCACACAGTTTATTGGGACACGCTGTATTTCTGGGTCATTGCTTATGGGTGACTGTTGTTTATAAATATTTCAGGCTGCTGTACGTGTTCAATTTTGTTTTTACTCCCATGCACACGAATTGTCATCTTTAGGGCATATGTTTTGCAGGACAAATATCTACTTTTGGAGGTGTTCCTCACCCTCTCTCTTCTTTGGTTCAAAGTCTCGTTCACAATCAGAAAAACAGCAAATTTGAAATAAAAACTACAATATTTTTCGGGGTGAAACTACGTCGTCAAAAGGGATTATTGTTATCATTGGTACATGTATATACTTGCCAATAAATTTGGACATTATCCGGTTCATTAACTCTTTTGATACACAATGTACTTTCCATTTGGGGAAAATCAAACTGCATGGAAACAAATCACAACATTCATACCGGGCCGAATGCAATGCGGCATAAATTGATTATGCAAATACTCTCGGAACTTTACTCCACACATAACAAGCGGGCGCATCGAAACGAGGGCGCCCTTGCTGATTGGCTTTGAGGTTCCCCGTTTATTTATTATTAGCTATGACGTAAGGGAAATCCCACTGCTTCGATTTCGCAATGGCAAAATGTATGGTAAATTCCGTTCACTAAAACACTTACAACATGTTGCTCATGACGTAAGGGAAATCCCACTGCTTCGATTTCGCAATGGCAAAATGTATGGTAAATTCCGTTCACTAAAACGCTTACAAAATTTTGCTCATGACGTAAGGGAAATCCCACTGCTTCGATCTCGCAATGGCAAAATGTATGGTAAATTCCGCGTATTCAGCCGTACTTGTGTACGTGTATCCAGCTGCGTATTCATAAAGTACGGAGGCCAATAAACAACATTATTGATGTGATAATTTTTTATATATTTAATGCGGATTTCATCGAGGAGTGTACCGAAAATGAAGGATGTCAGTATTATGTTTGATGTTCAGTTATTTAGGTCTCGTGGCTTCCTATAAATTATTTTGGTTTCAGATCTAAGGCAACTATGAATCACGTGATACTCGTCCTGAGAAAAATCGTACTAAAATAGCATTTTGCGTTTGAACAACATTAAACTTAAACTTCGAGACAAAGTGTACCAAACAGGCAAAAAAGTCAAATCGCCGATGACATCTTAAAGAGTGGTGTGCCGCCTACACTCTATTTTGGTTTCAGGTGTATGGGGTGTATCTGTCACGTGACAATGGCATACGTAATGGGTTTTCACTGCCAAATTTACTTAAATGCGGATTTCAGGAAAAAGTTTACCGAAAATGCAACATGTCCGAATTATGTTTGATGGTCAGTTAATATTGAGGACTAGATGCTTCCTATAAATTATTTTGGTTTCAGATCTAGGGCAGCTATGAATCACGTGATACTCGTCCTGAGAAAAATTGTAAAATAGCATTTTGCGGTAACGTTGTACATTTAACTTAAGTTAAACTTCGAGACAAAGTGTACCAAACAGTGGAGAAGAAATAGTCAAATCGCCGATGACATCTTAAAGAGTGGTGTCCTGCCTACACTCTATTTTGGTTTCAGGTGTATGGGGTGTATCTGTCACGTGACAATGGCATAACAAAATGGGCTTTCACCGCCAAATTTATTTTATTTTATATAATTATTTAATGCGGATTTCAGGAAAAAGTGCACCGAAAATGCAACATGTCCGGATTATGTTTGATGGTCAGTTATTGAGGACTAGATGCTTCCTATAAATTATTTTGGTTTCAGATCTAGGGCAGCTATGAATCACGTGATACTCGTCCTGAGAAAAATCGTACTAAATAGCATTTTGCGGTAACGTTGTACATTTAACTTAAGTTAAACTTCGAGACAAAGTGTACCAAAAAGACCATCAAACATAATTCGGACAAGTTGCATTTTCGGTACACTTTTTCCTGAAATCCGCATTAAATAGATAAAATAAAGTATATTTGGCGATGAAAGCCCATTATGTTAGGCAAAATGAAAAAAAAACATGTTTAGCGTCCTGCCTCTTTGACAAAAAGGAAGGAGGAGGCCCTTTTTTTTTTTTTTTCTTTTCAAAATGGCCGCCCGACACATTTTTCAAGCCAACGTGGCCGGGCTATTTTTCAGGATGGTTACCAGCTTTTTTCAAAATGGCCGCCACTTGGACTCATTGACTATTTCCACAGCTTTATACACGGTATAAAAGTCTAAAAATATGATTTCTTTCGTCAGAGATCGTTAAAATGTATCAATTTTTGTCTTTAAAAAAAAAAGAAAAAAAAAAGGAGGCGGCCTCTAAAAAGGGAGCGGGCGGGGACGCTAAACATGTTTTTTTTTTTACTTCGCCTTATGCCATTGTCACGTGATAGATACACCCCATACACGTACACCTGAAACCAAAATAGAGTGTAGGCAGGGCACCACTCTTCAAGATGATGTCATCGGCGATTTGACTTTTTCTCCTACACTGTTTGGTACACTTTGTCTCGAAGTTTAACTGAAGTTTAATGTTGTTGTACAACTGCTAAATGCTACTTTTAGTACGATTTTTCTCAGGACGAGTATCACGTGATTCATAACTGCCCTAGATCTGAAACCAAAATAATTTATAGTAAGCCTCTAGTCCTCAATAACTGAACATCAAACATAATACTGACGTCCTTCATTTTCGGTACACTCCTCCATGAAATCTGCATTAAATATATAAAAATGTATCACATCAATATTGTTGTTTATTGGCCTCCGTAGTTGATGAATACGCGGCTGAATACACGGCTGAATACGCGGCTGTGGTAACTGGCCGAATACGCGGCCTGGTTCACTTGTAGTTGTACTCGGTGGGGCGGTTAGGGTTAAAACGCTTTCAAAATTTTGCTCAAATTCTTCAGACACCAGTTCTATAGTCTCACAGATAAATACTACAGACCCTTCTCTGAGGCAAGTGGACATTTTATGCTGTATTTAATCTACAAGTACAAACTGACAACGTTTCATCATAGTTGACATGTTTAAACTAGGCCAAAGTTTACTTACGATCCTGATGAAAAGTGAAATTTTCCGTTCAATTCCGAGAGCTCCCCTCGCGATCGTGAACTTGGCGACTCGCGTTTGAACGATGCAAACGTGATCCAGTCTACTCATTATCATGCATATTCGATGCATCGCGCTCGGTAACGGAATAGCTTGGACCAGTGCATTACTATCGCGTATCGCCATATGCAAAAAGGCGATAAGTTGGGCCAAGTTACTCGGACTACCAAACTAGTTGGCGACATTAAGAACATTACAGGTATGTCATTGATTAAGGGCAGGGTTTTAAATTTTTGAGGAAAATTTGGAGGTAAAAAAATGACGACGACAAAACGCAACACGAAAATAAAGATGGCCAATGGGAATTTAAAAATGGAAGATTGCGATCACCGCGTGAGTACCGTGAACGCGCAAGGCCCGCAGACGGAATCGCACGGCACCTACCGTACCGTTGGAAAATCGTAGTTCTACCCCAAGAAACTGTTCAAAAATTACAAAAAAATTGGGAGTGTCATCATTGAGAGAAGTCTGCTTTAGGATGAAAGGTCATTTTTGACTAATTAAAAACACCCTTGACTCTAATTTAATTGAAACTAAACCGGGGCCCTAGTACACTTATCCACGATCGCCAAAAATATTCACAAGATAAGTAACGAACAGAATATGACAGAGAATTTTTCATTCCAACACGCAGGACTTCCATGCGGCCGAGTGTCTGATAGTCAGATAGTGTACTTACGTTACCACGATGCAACGGCAGGCAGGTGAGCAACGGCAGGCAGGTGAGTAGTACTAGTAGCTAGTTGCAGTTTCTTCTGTGTATCAACCCACCTCTCTCATCTTGAGACACTTGTGTAAAAAATCCTTGCACACGCGTAGAGGTTCTGGGGTTTACTGAGGAGGATGTTAATGAATATGTTGGGAAATTCTATGACACAGATCCTGATGGCAATGCACTAATCCAAACCATTGGAAAGTCCAACACGCTGCGTGATAATGCTACGAATCAAATGTTTTTGCATCTAATAATTGGCAGCAAAACTGTTGAGGTCAGCTATTTGGCAGCAATTATTTTGTTGGCCTGTATGGGAGGTGGATTATCAATAGTATTACTTAATATGTCTATTGTTTTTATTCTTTTCAGAACCACCTTTAGATGACAGAACTCAGCTCGAGGTCGCTACAAGGCTTGGTTGTGATTGGGTAAAACTGGCACTTGAGCTGGGCTCTAAGATGGTACAGGTTCAGACTATTGAGAGAAATCACCAAAACGATATCATAAGGCAAGGTCTCAATGTGCTTGTAACATGGCAACAGGCCCAGTCCACCAGTGATGAACAGCAGAGGACCACGTTGTGCACAGCACTGAGGAACATCGGAAGAGCAGATGTTGCTGGATTTCTGCACGGTTAAATGTACGTATGTCTTTGGTCATTGCATGCTAATGTCAGGAGGAAAAAGAGGTTACTCGCATAAATTGTAAATACATTTATAGATCTGTGCATTTTATTCATTATGATACATTACTACTGGTATGTCAAAAGTGACAGTGGTCTATTATGTCCATATGACCATTTTTATGCCAGGTCAAATCTGTTCACCTTGTACATAAATGACACAGTAATTTGTCTTCAAAGTTGAACTTATACAACTCTTTTAAGTCCCTGGTCAGATTCGACCCAGAATCCAGGCCAGATATGACTTGACACATTTCCTGGTCAAAATGACACTTTTTTGGTCAAATGACAATAACCTCGGGTCAAATGGCTGGTAAACGACAATTCAGTGTTATTTTGACTCGGAAAAAAGCAGGTCAAATCTAACCCGGATTCGGGTCGAATCTGACCCGGGACCCTTTTTTTCAAAAGTGTATAAAGCAATATTAGGTTTTGCCCTTCCCCGATGTATAAACAACAAAGAGGTTGTGGGTAATTCGAGTCCCACCGGAATGTTTTTTCTGCAACTTTCACTCGGGAGGTAACACACCGAGTATACATTGTTTATACGTCGGTGAAGGGCAAAAACCTAACGTTTATTTACATCACCCCGACGTAAATTCCATCTCATGAATAGTTTAATTGCGATAACTGCTGCTACATGTACATCAGATTCGAATGCAAACCAACGTCCGTCACAAGCTCAATGGTCGAGGAGTAAGACACCTGCACTGTACTAGAAAGCAGGTCATGGGTTCGAGTCCCACCCAAGTGATTTTGTCCAACTTTCACTCGGGTGTTAACGGTCAAATCCTCTGGTTTCCTGTCTCTATTTTCTCCTATTGAACCTGCCATACTTATAAGTTCGTTCTCTTTTCCTGCTTTAGGCACACCAGCAAAAGAAATTAGCCAATCCAAATGTTGAGACTGGACAGTGGCTGGCTTCAACGTGGTCAACCTCCCCCTGGCATCCAGCTCGAATCCCGCCAAGTCTACAATTCTGACCATTCCAGCCGACAACCCCCATCAAGATGGGCTGCTGCAGTACTAGTGCATTTTCATCTTAAAATAATGGATATTAAATTTTTGTGTGAGAGTACTGGTATTGATATATACAGCTCGTAGTTTTTTTTCTTCGCTATTTAGCCGTAAAAGAGTAGAACATAATTAGCACCTGGTGTGTGGATTACCCTATATTTCCCTCTGCATTTGTGTGTTATCGTTCATGCACACCGTTCAACAACAAATAGCGAAGCCCACAAATTTTATTTGACATTGTTCATATTCCATATTGCCGATGATTGCCATTTTCTTTAGGTACTGAAATTTGTATCCTTGTGTAGATCTCATCCTCACGAATGCACAACGTTCAACAAATAGCGAAGCCCACAAATTCTACTCGATATTGGTCACATTCCATATTGCCGATGATTGCCATTTTCTTTATGTACATGTACTGTGATGTGTATATATCGCTTTATCCTCATGTACCAACATTTTAGAGTGTGAAAATCTAGTTTTACGAAAATTCGGACCAAATATCCCTTTAAAACGTTTTATCAGTTTTCACTTTGCGACAGATAAATGCACTTTGCAAATTCCAATTTTTTAAAGTAAAATCCAGATTTTTAATAAAAAATAAAATCACACTTTTCAACGTAACATTGATGTTTCATAGTTTGCCCTTATTGTATTGTCACTGTATATTTATTACTTGATGGAAGTTTAACCTTTTAGGCTGCGCGTCAACCAATTCTCAAAAGTGGGGGGGGGGGGGTTCGGTTCACTTTGGGACAGATAAATGCACTTTGAAAATTCCAATTTTTTAAAGTAAAATCCAGATTTTTTTTAAAAAATAAAATCACACTTTTTTATGTAACATTGATGTTTCATAGTTTGCCCTTATTGTATTGTCACTGTATATTTATTACTTGATGGAAGTTTAACCCTTTAAGCTGGGCGTCAACCAATTCTCAAAAGTGGGGGGGGGGGGGGGGGGACGACATACCTTGAACAACACTAATGTGAGCTTGAAGCACGCGCAAAGCCCAAACAGCTAGATTCTAGATCTGTGTGGTGCGATCTGAGGCAATTTCTGACTACTAAAACCAATTTTCGTTTGAGCCGAAGATCATCTTTTAAACATCATTTTCGAGTTGATTCATTGAATCAGCTATTCCGAGCTACAGAATCATTGTACTGTAGTAGGCTACAATTTGTAATCGGGAATGAAAATTGTTATACGGGGATGAAAAAGTGAGGGGGAGGGGGACAAATGATACAATGATATCCCCCACTTTAAAAAGTGTGGGAGGGGGGGGGAGGGAACATCCCCCATATGAGGTTTAAATTAGTTCATGGAGGTATTCATGGTTAGTTCAATCAGTCGAGGTGGGGGAGGGGTGGGGTCGTGCCCTCCCCCCCCCCCACAAGACAATCCGAAATCTGCTGCTTGCGTTAAGAAAGTGTCCGTTTACAGTATATTTTTTGAGTTACTAAAAGAAATTGGAATCTAGATGACTATTTGCGTACAGCTTCATGAAATGCAAATAAATTGATAAGAAAAAAGAGCACCCTCTAGCATCAAAAAGAGGTTCCCCCTTTTTTTTTTGAATTTGCAGCACTTGTGGTGACCTGGAAATTAGGAGAAATGGATCAAATTGGGCTTCCACTTTTCAAATGAGACCAATTTTCATCCTATTTTACAACTTGACCTCATGACCATTGTCGTCATTATCATATGAAGGTTCCCAAGTTGCATCTATAACCCAAGTTTGGTTCCAATTGGACTTCAACTTCTGAAATGAGACCAATTTTACAAAACTTTAATCGAAATACATGTACACGTACATGTACCACACACACTGCATTGTACACGAACTAATGTACATATAGGGACAGACACAGTCTTTTCCCTGAACAAGGTCCAGACGAGACTTAAAGTACAATTCTGTCTTAAAAAGACCAATTCTTTGTCGCAGACCCCTATACACGTACATGTAGGCCTACATGTTGTACTCCATCCCATGGCTCTTACACATAATGAAGGCTGCATGTATGACTATGCACCTTCCCAATACACTCCCGGCCTAAAATTGGACCACGGCAAGGGCGGATCCGGAACACAATTTGGGGGGGGGGGGGGGCTCTTAAAAAAATTAAGGCATGGGGTTTGGGGCCTGCTTAAGGGCCCTGAAACTTGTTAATGTTTGGATTCAAAATGCTCTGTGGTGTAGTGCGATCTGAGGCAATTTAAACCACTTTAACCAATGTTTTATGAGGACAAAAAGTTTAAAAGACGTTGTATCGTTGCCACAGATAGCAAATTGGGCACTAATCAAGAATTCCTAGAGGCAAATTATTAATTGTATATAAAATACATGTACTTCTAATGCAATGCTGCTGTGCTACTTTTCTACAGCAATTAAAGTACCGTAAAGTTACAAATGATTCCACTAAACTACCTTTTGCATGAGAAACGCTTTCAAGACACAAAAGAAATCATGACAAAATCTGAGGGCAATTGTAAGGGTAAAAAACAAAGCCATTTAATTCTTAAACAATGAAAATAAACTCCAGTACAGTTGGTATCTTAACGAGACATAAAAGACAATGTAATGACTTTTAATACATGGATAATAATGGAACAGTGTAATACACAAGAAAGGAATATGGGAAAAGCAATTTTAAACGACCCAAGTTTAACAACAATGTTGCAATATTGAAAATGTACAATGCAGATGTGAATTTTTCCGAAATATTGATTATTGACAATTGTTCTTTCATTGTGATAATCTTACCCATACCACTGGCCAGCTGTCGTGCCTGCAGCCGCAGAAATCTCTACGCCCCAAACCGCTGAAAAGGTCACCCACATGACCTCGCATGACCCCAGCATGACCTCTGCTGACCTGCTAGAAAATTGGCTTACGCTAATCCCATCCCATGCAATCAAATACTCGATTATGAAAACGTACAGTAATACAGAGCTAGGTATGTCAGTTAATAGTTTTGTTGTAACACATCTCATGTAATACATGTTTTATATTCAAAATCCTGAAACTATATTACACTGGTTATAGTATTTAACGGGTAATATTACAACAAATATAGCATCACTCTATGGCCCTAAAAAAATCAGGTTGCATTGAAATAATGTTTAACACGTAACACAATTTCCTGTTTTGGTTGCAATTGGCATTTTACTTACGGTTTGCTGGCGGATGAGCAAAGCCACCTGAACGTTCGATAAAAAAAATACAGATATACGTACAAAAACAACAAAAAAATCCAGAGAAAGTGGCATAAAACATGACAAAATTACCCAATTGGACATAATTTCAAGGTAAAAAACAAGCAAAATTGACAAGAGTTCAACGGTCATTCATGACAAAAATTGGAAATGGTACATAAATATTCATTAAAGCAAAACAACAAGTTTATCGCTATGATGCAATACATACCCTAAAATTAGGTTTCGGTATATTACATGTAACAATGTCAACTTTTAACGCATTTTTCTTTTTTATACAGCAATTGGTTTCATTTTATCGTCCTACCGTTCTTTTCTCTGGTGGCTATCCCAGCATCCTTTGCTACCTGTTCAATAGACAAAGCACTCAAAGAACATCGCAAACATAAACAATAAAAGCGTAAGGTATCTACAGAAAACACGGCGGAAATTATCACAAAACTTTTTTTCATACAATGTCATTCTATACACAATAAAACCCTTCAAATTAGCATGATCACTTCAAATATTTAGCCGAGAAAAAATAAAACAGTAAACCTAGTTCAGTCAATACTAGACATGAAAAAACCCCCAAATCCCTTAACTAAAGCACAACTTAAATAAAACCATAATTATTTACTTTTATAATCCCTAACAACTGTATTTACTTTCAATTTGGATTGCTGTATAACAGGAATCCTTGTTTTTTTCAATTCTCGGGATACTTTCATCGACCCACCACTTACAGCGTGTCTCAGCGTAAAGACAACGTAAGATGCCATTCGTGCCGTGCATGGTGAACATCTGAAGACAGCAAAGTAGTCTGGTGCCGGTGCGCCGACGACTTCACTAAACCAAAACCCCAATATATTCAACAATGTGTGTACAATCATTCAGTTCGCAGTACGAGGTAGGGGAAAAGACATCGACCAAATTTCAGAATATCAAATCAACGCACTCGACATAAACAATGCATCAACAATATGGCAAAACTTTTTGTTGGAAGAGGAGACAAATGTGCGTTCACTTCCCAGACCCCAAAAACAGTAGCTTAAGAATGTTACGGACAATGAAAATAGACAGGAGTTTTCTGTAAATTGAAAAAAGTGAAAGTTGTGGAACAATAAGCATAATTTGCATGACAAAGCCCCTCTTCCGAGTTTTTTCCTTAATATACAGTCAACTGTGGAATCACAGAAAATACACACCGTGTTCCTAACAATTAATCATGCAAGTTTCAATATTACAGCCAATATATTTTGCACCGAACATTACGTTCGATTTCTTTTCACAGAACTTTCTTAGAAAGGAAAAAAACCAGACAATTCTTGGATTGCACGCTGAAGTTTGTTCCTTTCTTGGTTTTTTTTTCCTTCAAGAATTTGGAGAGAGCAAATTAAATTGTTTTTGGAGGGAGCTTTTCTTTGTACATTTCACAGATACATGTATTGGGATTTGGTTTGAGCATCAAAACTTGATTGGGTTTTCTAGTGGCGGCCAAAATATTCAAATTTTGGATGTGGAAAGGTAAATTCGGGTGACATTTCTGAGCCTGTGGAGAGAATAAGCAAGGGGAAACAAGAAAAATACACAAAGGGTTGTATATCAATAGAACAAAATATGGCCCCTTTCTGTTGCAACTATACACCAGGCAGGGGGGTAATATATCAAATTAGAATCACATCGAAAAAGACAGACAAACAATGCAAGGAGCATATACAATGAATAATGGGTTAGTTCAAAATGATGACACATTCGAAAAGAATTCATAGATATGACGAATCAATTTTTGCAAATATTGTGGAAGACGGGGAATATTGAAACAACTGACAAAAAAACAAAACACCCATAAATGTTCCAGAATATCAAAAAAAATTGCAATGGCGAGCAATGTATTATTATCAGTTACTTAGACAAAATAAAAGAAAGAATGGCAATTTTTGACATAACCAAAAAAATTCAGTGGAATATTCATATTGCAATTATATTTCGAAATACATGCTTCCTGTTTGGGGAAAAAAAAGAGAATATGGCAATCATTCTCAAAATACAGGAATTGGCACATGAAATTTGACAAAACATCCGAAAATTACAGTAGCAAAAATGAGCACTCATGAATATGCATTTCAATTCATTATATATTCAAGCGTTTCAAAGGATAAGCACAATCCATACAATGAAACAGTGGAACAATCATCAATATAAAATATCAATTTTGAAAAAAAAAATATCAAATCATCATGTATCATTTTCAACAGCAATGGCACAGATTATGTCAAAAGAGCATTTCACAAGAAGTATAGTTTAAAATGTTGCACTTGTAAAACTCTGAGAGTAACAGTATTTCCTTTAAACTGATCAAGAACGAATTAAGCAGAAAAATGCACTCAAAAGACAAAAAAAGCAAGAATTACCACAGCACAAAAAGATATATGAACAAAAACATGAGAAAAACGGACACTATTAGGAAGATGAGAATAGGGCAATGGGGATAAACGGAGGATGAAACATCACAAAAACATCTTACGAGGATCTTACCTGGTAACCGTCTTGTCAGAGGTTGGAGATTACATTACTGGGGATAGCCGGTAGCCTGCAGGTGGGAGAATTCAACAAACAAATGCCGTTGTTTTAATCACAACTTCAGATTTCCTTCAATCCAGGAAAATGGTACTTGCCGACTCGAAAGCAATCCTCAAATTTAAGACATAGTTTAACTACGTTGTAACTAACACAAGAGTGTTTGCAAGAGATTGTTTGGTTCAGGATACCTCAATATTGAACAAATTGGGGATTTTGATGGATTCAGGACAGTAAGCCTTGTGGTACTGCAGGATTTTGATGGATTCAGGATACCTCCATATTGAGCAGTTGGGGGACTTTGATGGATTCAGGATCTCAACCACTGCGCTATATGTTTGGTGTGTACAAGGTACATGTACTACACTGGTGAATTCTGGTGGACTCACTGGTGGATTCTGCTAGACTTGGGACACCAACTTTTTTTGCATGACAAAATTGATGGATTTTGTTGGATACAGGATACTTTCTAGCAAAAGTGCTCAAGGGGTTAGGGTTAAAGCAAATTAATCTATATAAATGAACTACGAAATATGGAAGGCAAATGAAATGTTCCTTATGGGCTCCATGCATAAGTACCCCCTCAACGTTAAGAAAGGGAGAGTTGGGAGAGACCACTGGGAGAGACATGTGGACGTATTGCCGACGGCGCCTGATGCTCAAGCGAAGATGCTACAGGTTTGTACACATTGCGCATGTGCATAAGTGTGGCGCCCCTCAGTAATGGCTTCTGTGGTCTTATGGTCATTGCATTATTCTACATGGTATGAACGCGTTTACCTGTTGGTTTGGCTGTTGGCCAGGCTGGCCGGCCGGAGCCGCCTGTCCAGGCTGAGCAGTCTGTCCCGCATACATCATCTGCTGCTGTCGGAAGTACTCCGCCCAGGCAGCGCTGTAGTCAGGTTGGGCCCCGCCCTGCTGGGCCCCGCCCGGCTGTCCTCTCATCTGTTCGGCTGCACAGGGAGAAAATTGGACAAGTATGGATGACCGAGTCCATCATACGTCTGGTGATAAGTACATCACAAGTCCTCTCACAACACCAGTCACAAGTAAGGCAAGACTGCAGTATCTAGTGAGCGGTAAACTCGAGGTTGAACCCTTGAGGTACCCTGTAAAACCTCATGAAACCTCGCAGCAAACCTCGGGTTACCGCTTTCTAAATTTCACATTCTCCCCTAATGGTGGAGGAACAAGGGCAAAGGAATGCTAGTGTCACGATTCTTCGCAACGACTTGTGACTTGACTTCAGACGGGATGACTTGTGGACGGACTAGTGAAGGACTTGTGACGGACTTGTGATAGACATGTGATAGACATGTGATAGACATGTGATGGACCTGTGATGGACATGTGATAAACATGTGATTGACATGTAATGGACATGTGATGGACACGTGACAGACTTGTGATGGACTTTTGGGGACTCATCACTCACGTTGGACCGGAATATATCACTAATTCCGAGAACCAGCTTGGATCCTACTCTAGGGGATGACCTCTGCTCTCTGGTTCAGGCCATCGACTACACTTTAATGTTCTGAATAACTAAGCTCAGAATCTACAAAATAATGTACGCTTACTAAAAACCACCGACTTTGTTCTTGAAAAATATAGTTTATCAAAACTTTTTAAGTTTTCGTTTTATTATTGCAGCAAGGTAGAGACGACTTTGGTTGACCGTTACTCAAGACGCTTCGCCAAATTTCGGAAACTATTGGCTGCTCATCAAAAATCTGATAAATTTCAGTAACGTTTCTTAAAAATCTTACAGCAGCTACACTTGCAGGACAAAGTGTTTAAAGTAAATTCCTTCATTTCTCTTTCTGTTCCAACTATTTTTTAATTTTTAACTGTTTAATTAAGATTAAATCTGTGACAGAGTTAGCCGTTTACCTGTCATTAATTTTTTTTATCAGTATATTTTCACATATCTTTTAGATAATGGCATAAAACACGGAACAGTAACCGGCTAATTAACGGCGTATTCTTGATACGTTTTCTAAAACTCAGTGACCAAAACAACTTTATTAAACAGAGAATGTTCTGAAATGCATGACCAACTTTGCATTTCAGACAAATATAAAGTGAAGACATGGACTGGGAGACAAATATAAAGCTAAGACCCGGACAGAGAAAAAGTTGAGGAATTTTTAACTTCCCCACCGTGCGGAGAATTGGTAAGCATAGTCTGACAAACACGGAGATACATGGTGAGACAGATAGTGACATTCAACAAGGCATGGCATTACACTGATCTAGAGAATGTTTTGCCAGAAGCGACAAAGATGGACAAAGGTTTCCTAAGCAGGGTTACGATCATTTTCCAATCACTGTTTACCTACTCATGAAGGGCAAAAATAAGCTAACTGATCCCGGGACGGCCTACCTTGCTGCTTGTAGTAGTCTGCCCACTGGCTGGTAAAGTCTACTTGGCCCGCCCCCGTGGTCTGGGATTGCCCTGGTATGGAAAGCAACACAAGCAAAATACACAGGGTGCACCCCTATTATCTGGGAACCAGACTATTTTCTCGTCCATCGGTTGCCGGCCCTCCCCCTGTTCTTTGACCACTACTTTTTACTCAGAAATTTCGGAGGTAATTTGGGCTGCCGGACCTTACAGTAACACACAGCAGCCATCTTGGTATTACACCGACTACAGGCCAATGTTTTTTGGGTTGAATTGGCCAACGGGAACCAGACTCTTTTTGGACAAAGCAAGATTTGAAGGAAAACGCCGTGTCAGATAATGTCAACATGGCCACTGTGCATTTAAGGTCTGCAGCCAAAAAAAAACACCCCGGAAATTTGATGAAGTTCGAGACAGCCGATTTTTCAACTTGAAAGATTGTCTCAAGATCTGATCTAGTTTTTTTTTCTGAATCCCCTGAAGAGATGAAGTGGTTTGCGTAGAGCTATAAGAACATTCGGTCATCTTGGAAATTCAACTGAGCGACTGCCGGACACCTTCAATATAATAGAATTTAACAACAAAACTTTGCCGAAATATTGCGTTTCAATTTTGCTCCAATAAACCAAATGCGCATCAGTGTGTTAACATTATGAGCGCTACTTAAGCTACTGAAATCTCTGCGCACAGAGGGCCAAAATTGCGCCCTCTAGAGACGTTGAGCCGATATCAGCTAGACTGTCATCGCGTTTTGTTTCAATTCTAACACAGGCTATTAATTCCGTACTGAAAAGTGTTACTCGATTTTCAATATGGCGATCAGTTTGGTTACAGTTCTACAGCAAACCGGGGGCATTATGGGCTAAGCTGATGAAATGTTGATTACGACTAACGACTACTACAAGCAGAAAACCCATGAAATGAAAGGTGGGTGAGTTTGCTACCTTGCGACTGCGTGGCCGTGGGCTGTGCGCCGGCGGCTGATTGAGGGGAGCTGGTCGCTGCAGCTTGTGGCTGCATGGCCTGCCCTGGTTGCTGCTGCTGCTGGTAGTACTGCTGCTGCTGCTGGTAGTAGGCCTGCCACGCTGCCTCGTTGCTCTTGGCCTGGTCCTGGCCCGGCTAAACACAAAAACATTGAAATCATCAACTAAACCTTTACGGTATCTATGCACACAGTGTTTCCAGCACTTAACGAAAACACAAATCCCAGAAATCTTCCCTGAATCCATGAGGACTATTTTTTACTGTCACGAGATTGCTGGGAAGTAAAGAGGTGGTTGCAGCAAAGCAACTATTAACCACTTTGCGCCGGGATTATTAAATTTCGATTTTTGCAAAAGGCAAAATGTTCCAGCCCCAACACCACAATTACTAATTCACTTCAACAGTTATTTCGACAGTATTTGTACGATATTTCTCGGCGAAAACTCATGTCTCAATGGAGCGTAAATAGTACAACAATAGGCCGTGCACAACGGCCAATTCAAGATCAACACATGGTCCGCCTCCAGACTTCACAGACTTTGTGTGTGTGTGTACAAAAAACATGAGGGATTAGCATGTTTAGACGTCACCCGGAGGCGAGTCAAGGCAATCTTGACGTCTTAACCCGTCAGCCGTGCCCGTGTGTAAAAACCGGCCAGTGCGAGTTATCATGTCCTCCAATGCGAACTGGTTAAAGATACTGATAATACACTGCCGACTTGTTGACAAGTAATGCCCCCCCCCCCTTTCCTCTTCCGAGTCACTGTCAAATTCCTTGAATTTTCCCTGATTTTTGGCTTTTTTTCCTAAATTCCCTGAGTTTTCCCTGAAAAAATTGGAAGCTCTTTGTGAAGGTATCCCCTGATTTTCAGAGAGCTTAAAACCCTGCATGACGCCTGATGCTCACAAGTCGTCACAAATGCGCGTTCACATTCGCTTCTGTCACCAGGTCTTACAATCAGATGCCAGTTTCAAGGATCAAATAAACTTTGCTCCAGTTTGACATCTGAAGAACCAAGACCTGGCTCGCAATGTTTACTGTCGCGTTCATTCGACACCCATCACCCATGGGGAGAGAGGGTGCTGGGCTCTAATTGAACGCAATGGTGAAGCTGTCCCAACAACACAAGAATGCTACACGGTTCAAAGACAAACAAGTCTAGTCTCATATTTAATGAACCACAAATGAGTAACTGAAGATTGTTTTACCTGCTGCTGCTGCTGTTGCTGTTGTTGACCCTGGGGTTGGCCCCAGCCTCCTGCTCCACCAGCTCCGCCATAGCCGTTATTACCCCATCCGCCACCCCCACCCCCAGGGTTGAAATTTTGATTACCCTGATGCCCTCCGCTGAGGATAAGAAACAAACAGCAGAAAAATAAAAACCACAGGTATTAAAGATCATTCCCCAAGCTACTTCGAGTTTCACCCCGGAAAAATAGATTTTAAGTAAGATTTGAGGCTTTGCATGGTGGAGATACTAAATAATGAGAGGTTTGCGGAAACACCATGAGGGAATGATTTCTCAACTAAGAGAATGGTTCTGAAAAGAACCAGAGGTATAAACTCGACGTTCCGGTCAGTATGCTCTGACCGTCTTCAGGAGAGCATACTGACCAGAACGTCGAGTTTATACCTCTGGTTCCTTTTCAGAACCATTCTCTTAGTTGAGAAATTATTCGCACATGGTGTTTCCACAAACCTTTCATTATTAAAATAGATTTTGTTTTATCAATTGCTGTTTTCCTACCAATTTCAAAGTTATTCGCTTTAGAATGACACATCGAACCAAAAAAAAATCCACCACCGTCTATTTATTGAATTATTATCTTTAGAATTAGTTGCGGCCAGGCAATAATTGGGCTGTGGCAGGGTGCGTTCATTTGTGTGTAAAATAAAGCCATTTGTTTCAGAGGGTTTCAGACGTCCAAAATTAAAAATAGTAGATTTATCATTAAAACAAAATGTTAAAATTGTTAGGGGAAACTTCTTTAACCCTAACCGCCCTGAATCCTTCAAAATCCTCTTTGCCGAAGTGGAGGAATTTGGAGGAATGAGGTTACATGGCAAAAGTGCGTTACTGATTTCGTAAGATGCACTGTGTCAGGGTCTTGGGCCAGACCTTGTGTTGTTTTTGCTCAGCCATGCATACATCTAGGCCTGGATTATGCTTGAAATCCTCCATACTGCTCCAGGATGTCACTGGCCAAGCGTCAACATATTGACAGTCACTGCAGCAGGATTTTGCAGGATTCAGGCAGTGGTCACCCTTCCATGGACCATATTCAAGAAATAATAGAGGAATTTGCAGGATTGAGGCTATTTTTCCATGAGGCCAATTGGAGGATTTTGCAGGATTGAGGCTACATCCTAGCAAAAAGGCCTAGGGAGTTGGGGTTAAGATATATTTTCAAGAGGACAGGGAATTCATGTTTAACCCTAACCATGCCAGATGGAACACAGTGCAAGACAGGTGCGACACAGGTAGCAGGGTGGAGGGGGAGGGGGAGGGGGAAGGGGAAATGTTTGGGGGAGGGGGAGGGTTTGGTGTCACAACTGAACAAGAAAATATCTCACCCTTGATATCCCCCGCCGCCTCCTGGTCCGCCACCCATATTTCCTTGCTGCGGAAACGAAAAAAAAAAAAAATATAAAAAAATAGCCATTTGATTTAGGAAAACTATTACACATTTACTATTAAGAATGTTGGTGTATGGTCGGAATGGTTGACTTATCAGGCCGTGAAAAAAATTATGTGCGTTTTACGGCAACGCCCTTCAAATTATCCTGGAAGGAAGGTAAAAAACTTTTTTTATTTTGTAACTTCTTTAAATTTTTGTCTGTCGGTCTTTTGTTATTACTTTGTTTACAGGGTTTCCTGTTTAATTAATGTTTTCTTCTTAATTAACCAATAACACACAAAATATTACATAGGGAAGACTTACATTATTTAAAAAAAATATTAAATTTTTTTTTTGGCCAAATGCGGCAATAAAAAGTTGAGGTCGTCAATATGACCTAAAAAACTCCAGTAGGTCGGCTTGTATCGTATACTTCCAATTTTTTGTAGGCCTTAGACTTAATGCATCTATGACTAATAGGGTTGCCAGGGTGGTACACCTGTCAACAGATTACGAACATAACATAACACCATGTAGCCTGGTCTACTATCAAACTCCACTCATCGGATCAAACAATCCTTGTGGCGTTAGCGAAATCCTGGCTAGGAATTACTGTTGCGTCCATATTACGCCCGGCACCCACAGTCAATACTGGTGCAGGGTTCTAGCAGGATGCAATGTAGGGGTCACTCAAAAATCCCAAATTTTTGGGTCGACCCGAGTCACTCCAGATGCAATCGGAATTTTCAGTCCCAAAACAGTGCGAGAGAGCTAAACATAAAAATGAGGAGTTTTGGTCATGCTTACACTGAGTTTCTCTTGGATGAGCTGCTCGGCCGTGGTGACCTGCTCCAGCGTGCCCTGGATGGTGAAGATCTTCTCTCCCATCTGGTTGAGACGAGGTGTCATCTCCACCCTCGCCCCAGACCGGGCCGTGATGCCCTGGATGTTGGCACCACCTGAAGGCATCAAAAGCAGTGGTGAAGTTGAGTACTTTGCCATGAGCATGAGTACTTTGCCATGAGCATGAGTACTTTGCCATGAGCATGAGTACTTTGCCATGAGCATGAGTACTTTGCCACGAGCATGAGTACTTTACCATGAGTATGAGTACTTTGCCATGAGCATGAGTAATTTGCCATGAGCATGAGTAATTTGCCATGAGCATGAGTACTTTGCCATGAGTATGAGTACTTTGCCATGAGCATGAGTAATTTGCCATGAGCATGAGTACTTTGCCATGAGTATGAGTACTTTGCCATGAGCATGAGTAATTTGCCATGAGTATGAGTACTTTGCCATGAGCATGAGTAATTTGCCATGAGCATTAGTACTTTGCCATGAGTATGAGTACTTTGCCATGAGCATGAGTACTTTGCCATGTGTATGAGTAATTTGCCATGAGTACGAGTACTTTGCCATGAGTACGAGTACTTTGCCATGAGTACGAGTACTTTGCCATGTGTATGAGTACATTGCCATGAGTACGAGCATGAGTACTTTGCCATGAGTACGTTTTACGAGTACGAGTACTTTGCCATGAGTGTCAATGCGAGTACTTTGCCATGAGTACGAGTACTTTGCCATGAGTATGAGTACTTTGCCATGAGTATGAGTACTTTGCCATGAGTATGAGTAATTTGCCATGAGTATGAGTACTTTGCCATGAGTATGAGTACTTTGCCATGAGTATGAGTACATTGCCATGAGTACGAGTACATTGCCATGAGTATGAGCAGGAGTACTTTGCCATTTGTATGAGTACTTTGCCATGAGTATGAGTACTTTGCCATGAGTATGAGTACTTTGCCATGTGTATGAGTAATTTGCCATGAGTATGAGTACTTTGCCATGAGTATGAGTACATTGCCCTGTGTGAGTAATTTGCCATGAGCATGAGTACTTTGCCATGAGTACGAGCATGAGTACTTTGCCATGGGTACGTTTTACGAGTACCAGTACTTTGCCATGAGTGTCAATGCGAGTACTTTGCACTGAGTTTGAGTGTGAGTACTTGGCCAAGAGTATGAATACTTTGTACTCATAAAGAATCACTATTTTGTTAACACCGTGTAGCCTGGTCTACTATCAAACTCCACTCATCGGATCAAACAATCCTTGTGGCGTTAGCGAAATCCTGGCTAGGAATTACTGTTGCATCCATATTACGCCCGGCACCCACAGTCAATACTGGTGCAGGGTTCTAGCAGGATGCAATGTGGGGTCACTCAAATAATCAAAAATCTTTTAAGGTCTATCAGAGTCACTCCAGATACAATCAGAATTTCAGTCTAAAAACGGTGAGAGAACTCCAGGTTTTACTCGGAGGTAACCCCCGTAAAACGTCAAGGTAAAGCCCTTACCTCTACCGATGATCAAGCCACACTTGTTGGCTGCTACAGGGACTTCCCTCATCTCCCCGCCGTTCCTGAACTGGTTATCCCTCATCATGCCCGGCCGGCCGCCCATGTAGCCGCCGCGGTTGCCGAAGTTGTTGGGCCCGCCGCCGCGACCACGTCCCCGGCCTCGCATGCCCATGTTCCTCTCCATGTCACGTTGCTGAGGAGTTTAAGAATAAAATTGTTTAAATAAACCAAATTCAGCCCAGGACCAAGGCCCTACTCCGTACCCAAGTTAACATCCTCCTAATGTAGGTTAACATCCTCCTAAACCGGGTTAACATCCTCCTGACCCAGGTTAACATCCTCCTAACCCAGGTTTACATCCTCCTAACCGAGCTTCACATCCTCCTTACCCAGCTTAACATCCTCCTAACCCAGGTCAACATCCTCCTAACCCAGGTCAACATCTTCCTAACCCAGGTCAACATCCTCCTAACCCAGGTTAACATCCTCCTAACCCAGGTTAACATCCTCCTTACCCAGCTTAACATCCTCCTAACCCAGGTCAACATCCTCCTTAGTGATAACAGTCCCCTCAACTTACCTTTGCATCTTGCACAATCTCGTCCACTATCTCTTGGGCCCGTTCGACGGCCGGGGTCGGCCCGTTGATGATGCAGACTCGCTCCTCACTGCCGTCATCTTCCTTGAACTGCACCTTGGCACCTGTCTCCTCCTGGATGTTGCGGATCATCTCGCCCTTCTTGCCGATGATGATGCCTACTGTCTGCCTGGGCACAGTGAACTGAAGCACGCACAGAACCACAAGGAACAAGACAAATTGGGAGATTATTAAACTCTTAACCCTTCCAGATGTGACACAGTGTAATGTGCGTAAATATCTGAGGGACCTTGTGGCATTGGGCCATCAACACCAGTTGTGACCTGTTGTAACATTTAACAATTGTTGACTGCTGTGATGTGGGATATGACGTTTTGAACACCTGAGGCGAATTTGTTATACCTCTGTCTTGGATTCCTGGATTTTGACGTAAAAATCACGAAAAACAAACAGTAGACTGTCAGCTCACATGCATGTTGTGTGCTCGATACAGCTGATCGTCTGCTAGTTCGTTGTTCCCACTCATGCATGAAAGCATGGTGAAAATAGCGTGGGTACCAATGATACAAGCGTTTCACACAGTACGCACCATACCGTACGTACGTGATATCCCACAGCAAGTGTGCCATGACTTTTTATAAACTTAACATGCGATCGTTCTGGGCCAATGAAAATACAGTGTTCAAGACAGAGGTATAACAATATTATTACTGGCCGGCTTCTCACTTTGACAAGGGTTGCATGCTGCGGCACTGGGCAGGGTTTCTACCCAATATTACCTTGCTTATCAGAAACAGGTTACCAACCAATCTGTGGTGCATTATACACTACGTCTGACTGGTTCCCCGCCGATTCTTTTCTGCTTAATTAAATCTGCAATGTTTTCTGCTTACTACCACTGTTAAAATTGGGCCCATGGTTGAAAAGCTTAATGTGGATTTGCACACCATCAAGGTGAAAGGTCACAGAAGTATCTCACCTCTCTGCTGTCGCCTCCACCTCCCCCGTAGCTTGGGGGACCGCGAGGACCACCACCACCGCCGCCACCAGCAGCCATACTGTTGTTATACTCTTGCTGCTGTTTCTATTATCGGGAACACATTTGAAAACAAAAAATACTGCAAGTAAACTTAAAGGATCCCCCTGGCAGTTTGTATACATGTACATGTACAGGCAGTTAGTGAGGACAATTTTCAGTGACGGCCTTGATTGTCCACCCGGCAGGTACCAGTGCTCAATTGAATGGGGAGTTTGGGGTTGAATGGGGAGTTTGGGGTTGAATGGGGAGTTTGGGTGAGACACCAGACTAACAAGTACTGAGCTGAGCTCTCCAAGAGTCCTCGTAAATATCCATACTGGAAAGGATTGGTTTTTTTTTATGTCGGCCTTCTCTCCACAGACCATCTTTCAAGTTTGGTTGAGATTGATGACTGAACTTACATTGAACTGGAACACACACACACCCTTACATAGACATAGAAGTGGGGTACTTCCTTAGTTCTCATGTACTAAAATTTTGCAATGTCGCACACTAATTTCAAAATGCTCTTATTTTAACCAGATTTAATTTCCTGGGCTGAAATTTGGACTTAATATCCCTTTTCTAAAACTCTTATATTTGCGACTGATCAACCCACCTTGGAAATTCTTAGTTTTTGAGTAAAATCCATATATCTATTTCGTGAAAAACTTGTGGGGTACCCAAACGGTACCCCGCAAGTCGGTGGGCGTTCCTTGTGGGTACCTCCCATTGTTCCGGTACCCCATAAGGCAGTGTTTATACGTTCAGACAGACAGACAGACAGACAGACAGACAGACACAGAAGGAATACGCGATCGCAATATCCCCCCTCTGGCTAACAGCCAGGTGGTTAAATATATCAGCAGAAACATTGGTACATATCCAGGAAGTACTGACTGATTTAACCCTCCCTCTCTGGCTGGAAATTCAGCTACGCCATCACGGCAGTCAAAATCAATCAAGGTCACTGTTTTGAACCGTGAACTCATTCCGTCAGAAATTAAAACAAAAGAAAACCCTTGGACGTTGACTTAGTTGTGATTTTACGGCATCACACTTTGCAAATCCAAAAGGAAAATAAAGGACAGAGGAAATAAAAGAGCACAGTGGAAGGAGAAATGAGGGACGACACGACTAACCTCTAACAAGTCGTTGATCAGTTCTTTTGCCATCTGAAAAAAAAGAAAGAAAAAAGAACTACATCTTATTTTGTTTGCATTTTGCTAGCAATTTGCAACTGAGATTCCTTTCTTACTTTTCGAACACATATTCACGAGTTAAATGTCAAGCTTATCTTCTAGTTTTGTCCTACAAGCGCCTTAAAGGGAAAACAATAACCGCACGGTGCAAATCTTGGACACAACATTTTAATTTTCTTTTTATCGAAGAGTGGGTATATGTGTAAGGAGCCCAATTTTCTGTACTGAATATTCATGATTGGCGGGATAATAATAGATCTCTCTCATACGATGCCATTTTCATAGGAAAATTAAACTGCATCTTTAACGCCATCAGGTGTGTGTGCGCGCAGTCTCAAAAATGTTCTTAACACGCACGGGTGTTGCTCAAAAGTTTTTCGACGCAGCCGATGCGTGTAACGAATTTGACGGCCAAAATACCGATGCAAGTGGCAATCTGCAGGAAGTGAAGACATTTGAGAGAGACCTATCGCAATTTTTTCTGATATTTGCAACGCTCTCAAATTTATGTTCAGGTTCTTGTTTAGCTTATGTAATAATTACAAAATGGGGCTTATTGTGCCTAAAAAAATATATATCTGATTTTGCCTGAAATAGTCTGGTTCTGTCTTCGTCAATTCTAGGAATGTAGTCGAGTCCATCACAAGTCCAGTCACAAGTCCAGTCACAAGTCCGGTCACAAGTCCAGTCACAAGTCCATCACAAGTCCAGTCACAAGTAAATCACAAGTAAATCACAAGTCCATCACAAGTCCATTCACACGTCCAGTCACAAGTAACAGTGGATGAATAATAACAAAGGAAAGCCTTTGTCAAAGGTCATTTGAATAGCTTGTGAGTTGAATTGGGACTGGAGGACTTGTGATGAGAATGCAGGCACTGGTCTTCATCCCTGATTTAATTTATGCCCAAGATTCCCGAGACAAATTATAATATTGCGAGGGTGTATTGTGACATTCTTGTATCGCAAGAAAAATCGAATACATATCCGGCTGTTTGAAAACTTACGTCAACTTGAGACTGGTCGCCGGTAATTTTCAGCGGCTTCTCCAAACCAGTGTTCATGGTGCTGTCCTGGATCATCATCATCTTGGCACCTGATTGCTCCTACGGGAATAGAGGGAAAATAGAAAGAAAGAAATTAAATAAAACAATCATTGTGATACTTTGCGGGAGTGTGACAGATAGGATATAAGAATGAGAGGTTTTCGCAGGCTAACCTATTGTTTTCTGACCGAGTCAATGACTGACTGACTTGCCGACGGACTGAGTCGTTGACCGAGTTGCATTTGTTAAAACCTGCTGGTCAGCCAGCGTTGGAGAAAACTTTTTTTTCTCTTCATTTTCTTTGCAATTGATTGCACACCTGTGAAGAGGTACAAGCCTGCTAGACTGATTCTCTGATCTTACAATTCAGGGAACCAGACTACAAGAATATGATTTGTTTTCTTGGTTTTTCCAGCATCTACGAACCCGAAATGTGAAACAAGTCAGTGTAACAATATTTTCTCTTACATACTAATTCTCCAAATCCATTGATTTCTGAAAATTGCAGCAAATGCAAATGTTGTACATTCTCTTTAAGGAAACCCTGAATGGGAGATTAAGGGGTAAAATTGACAGGTGGAAGAGTAAAAGGAAAGGTCCTGATTGTTTCTGCTTACCATGAGTTTCCGGATGGTCTCCCCCTTCTTGCCGATGATCAAGCCGACCTTGTTGGCCTTGATCATCAGCTGCTCGGTCACCGCCTCTTTGGAGTTGTAGATGATGTTGTTCAACTCTTGCTTGGCTCTCCTGCAAGATTATACAAATACAGGGTGAGTAAAAAATAAACGAAACCCAAATGTCGGGACGATTGTTTTAGTGAAGTTCTGCATGTAGCACTTTTAAAATCTAGGATATGAAAGCCCAATTCATAAGCTTTCTTTTAGTACAAGAATCAGTTCAAATCACTTGTGTACTTTTCAAGTTACGGGATTTTAAACACAACCACCGTTTTAAAGTTCTGTCCATGGATCACAAAAACGAAAACAATTCACACACATCCCTTTGTGATTTGTTTTCGTTTTGCCGAAAGAACACTTACCATTTTGTGATCCGTGGACAGAAATTTTAAATGGTGGTTGTGTTTAAAATCCGTAACTTGAAATTTACATGAGTGATTTGAATGATTCTTGTACTAAAAGAAAGCTTATGATTTTGGCTGTCTTCACTAAAACAATCCGCCCAAAACAAACCATGCTTTACTTGTTGTACTATATCCCATTTATATTCTAGGGCTTTCCAGAATATACCAATACTCGACTGAATATTCGAATAGCTTTTAGTGAGTTTGAATATTTGAAGAAAAAAATTACCCACTCGCACCTGACTACTACGTTATTTTAATCGTAATGTTGGGCACTTTGTCAGATGTCACTTTTTTGTAGGTGGTAATTTTTTTGTTGACGGCAGTTCATTGTTCCTATCCTTTTAAGCATGTTGAAACGCTTGACAGTTATAAAAACTACTGCAAAACAAACCAGTGGCCTATAACATCGCTCGCCTCACACAAATTTTAACCGGCGTATTACGTGTAAAACTTGATCAGAGAGTCTTGCATATTCAATTTTATTAAATTTTTCGGAATATGAATATGTATGAGGTATAGAAGACCCCTTTCTCATGGGTCTTAATGGATTAGTCTTTTCACATACTGAGAAGACCCAAAATAGGGTCAAATCATAATCCAGTGAGGTCAACTGACACCGTCTTAAACCCCAACCAACTTACTGTACGGCATCTAGTGAGCCCGTCAGTGTACATGTCCTGACATCTGGGTTGTCCAGATCATTCTCTGCAAGCAAACACAAAGAAAAAAGCAAACTTGACTTACATCAATTTTGAAGATTTTCTTTAACAAAAACTTGTTCTAGGACACATTAACCCTAACCCACCTCACTCCTCCAAAATCCTCCTGGCGGTTTTGGAGGATTCTAGAGGATTGAGGATGAATGGTGATTGAATCAAATGAGGATTCTGGAGGATTGAGGATGAATGGTGATTGAAGCACACAAGGATTTTGGAGGATTGAGGATGAATGGTGAATGAAGCACAAGAGGATTTTGGAGGATTGAGGATGAATGCATTTTGAGGCAGGACTGTCTGATGATTTTGAAGGATTTGGCGTTGGTTATCCTTCATTTAAACATGAGTGCCAAGTTTTGGGATGAGGAGGATTTTGGAGGATTGAGGATGAATGCATTTTGAGGCAGGACTGTCTGACAATTTTGAAAAATTTAGGCTGAGTTGAAAAATTTTGGAGGATTTTGGAGGATTGAGGATGGTTGTAAGCAACAAGGGCCTAGGGGGTTAGGGTTAAGACTCCCCAATCCTCAAAATTAACCAGGCCGTTTTGGAGGATGAGGATACATTGTGTCAAGGTCTGAATTGTACCTTGCATTGTTTATGCTGAGCCATGCATGAATAGGTCTAGATTTTACTTGAAATTATCAACACTGCTTCAACGTATTAAAGGGAATGTACATTATTGGCTTTCGCTGCAATTTTTTAGAAATGAACTATTTGGGGGGATAGTATAATAGATCAAATATTGTTACACTGACATGTTTGAAGTTTTGTGTTCGAAAATGCTGGAAAACTAAGAAAAACAAAACTGTTCAAGTAGTCTGGTTCCCTGACTCCACTAAAGATGAAACGGATCAAAAATGCCGGAAAATTGTAAGGTAAGGGAACTAGTCTAGCTGGCCTGCACCCGTTTATGAACATGCAACCAATAGCAAACAAAATTTGGACTGAAAAAAAAAAACCCGGTAAATTTGGATCAGTAGTTGAAAAACAGTTAGGTTTTCCAACGTTGGTCAGCCGACCACCGCCGTTGGAAAAACCTATTTTTCTTGAAAATGACTTCGCACCAGGTGCCCTAATTTTACAGAATGTTTTAGACTGTCATTTACCAACATCCTAGTAAGGTATTTCGTAACAACTTTGTAGTTTTATTTTTCGATGTTTGCAAATGTTGTATTTTCCCTTTAACAGTGATTCTTGGAGGATTTTGCAGGATTGAGGCAGTGGTCACCCCTCCACTGAAGAAATTCAAGAAATAACTGATGATTTGGGAAGATTGACCGAGGCTGTACCTAATTTCAATAATTTGCATATATTTGCATGTTTTTTTCCATGCAAATTCATCGCAACACCCACTGGATTTATAAGTGCAAAAACAAATTTCTCTCAGCTGTTCCAAGAAGCTAACTTACGTCCCGCTACTTGCACTTTGCATCCCGCGGCTTCTTGGATTTTGTTGATCGTCTCTCCGCCTCTGCCAATAACTATGAAGACAAATGCGGAGCAAAAAATAACTTGGTTAAAATTCATCACTCATATACATAAGTTATGAATTCAATGAGCAATCGTTAAAAGTACAACAGTTTATGTTCGGCCATGCATGAAATTTAATGTAGGCCTAGATTATACTGGATATCATCAACGCTGCTTCTGGATATAATCTGTACTGCTCATTTTCTTAAAAAGTTAGTTGGAGGATTTTGAAGGATTGAGGCAGAGGTCAACCCTCAACTGAACACATTCAAGAAATAACAGGAGGATGATTTTGGAGGATTGAGGCTGAATCCAATTTTTACATGGTGGCAATTGGAGGATTTTGCAGGATTGAGGACGGTTCCTAGCCACGAGGGCCTGGGGGTTAGGGTTAAAGCAAGGTTCCTCTATACTTACTTAAACCGACTAAATTGGCTGGAACCTGATAATTCTCTGTCGTACTTCCAACACTATAAGGAAAAAAAAAAATGATACATGTATAATACATCACTTAAAAAATAATCGGCCAGGAAAGTTCACAAAGAACTCCAAGGTCCATGTTTAATATTTATCTCACTACTTTTTTTGGTGTATGAATACAAATATCAACTTCAACTTTTTGTCCTGGATTTTTTTTTACAAAGTAAATTATATTCACATTTGAGTGAAGTGTGCATGGGAATGTTTTTTTTTCTTATGAATAAAAAAGGGGAAAAAAATAAACAACTACTCACCCTGGCATACCCGGCATACTCTGTTTGAACATATTCCCCAACGCTGCAAATAAAAAAAAAAGGGAAAAAATGAGATAGTAATCAAGTCCTGCAAAACTCGACCCAAAACTGAAACTAACCCGATCCGACCCCAAACTGACTTCACTTTGGTTCAGTTCGGATTTGGAACGGATCAGGATCGGAATTTGCCATCAATATATGATCTTGATGAAACCTGCACAGTGATCTCGAGTTATCAAACAATTTTATTTTTTTTATACAGTTCAGAGACTCCGAACTTGTCCCATTTTTGTTCAATACTAATTAAGGCTTTTAGAGTTAATGCACAGAATTGGATCTTCGCTTTCTTATTGGAAAGAAGTTTTTTTTTTAAACCAAAAATTAGTCTTTAGAGTTGCATCAAGGTGAAAACTATGGACGGGGTCAGAAGCGTTTGGCCAAATATCATTTAAGAGCAAGTTGGAGCAAGAACTATGGTAAACAAAATTTCTAGAAACTTGCTTAAACCGTGAAATATGTTTGGGTTTTCCATGTACATGTAGCCTGGTTTTCATTTACAGGCGTGCAACTGGGAAGTCCCGAAAAAAGGAAATTCAATCCAGAAAGAATGTTGCAACCTGACGCCACTTTTTTTTTTTATCATGTATCATCTCAATGAAGGTCAGTCATTGCAAAAATGTTGAAAAGACACGAATGTGAGTAACATTTCCAATTTGTTAGAAAATACTTTGAAAATATTCTTGACTCTCCAAAGACTTTATGCACAACCACTGAAGTGGCGTACATTAGTTTCATTCAATCTTTCAAAAACTTTGTACAGTGTTTTTCTACTTTTAATGGCACACATGGGAAGTAAAAAATGAGGAAATAAGCTGATCCGAGGAAAAGTTGCCTGCAATTTGAAATTTCTCAACACATGGCATTCAAAACTTTTTTTTCCATTATTTGAGAAATTACTAAGTAATTTGTCAAGTTGGTTGCAGGTACCCGATCCCATAATCTGAAACCGGTTCCTGACATCAGCGGTCGGGTACCCAGGTTCCTAGTTCCGACGCACAGCTCTGGTACTCAAGGACTTACGGTCATTCATATTTGGGAAGGCCATGGCTTTCTTTCCGGCTGGTTCGTCCCCCGATAAATCGTCCAGGGGTCTCTTGAGGCCCAGCACTGTCGGGTCACCTGCTTGTCCCGCAGGTAACGTCGACCCTCCTATCTTGGCTGCAATCTGGAACGCGCAAAAAAATCATGACTAAGACATGAGACGGAAGGCACGGTCAAGTGGTATTGTGGAAAGATTCCCATATCTGGCCATTTTTCCATTAACCCTAACCGCCCTGAATCCTCCAAAATCCTTTTTGCAAATTGGAGGAATTTGCAGGATTGAGGTTACATGGCAAAAGTGCATTGCTGATTTCGGAGTACGCACGGTGTCAAGGTCTTGGGCCGGACCTTGTGTTGTTTATGCTCAGCCGTGCATAAATTTAGTCTTTGATTATACTTGACATCCTCCGCACTGCTCCAGGATGTCACTGCCTCTGCCTCAGCCTATTGACAGTTATAGCCGGAGGATTTTGCAGGATTCAGGCAGTGGTCACCCCTCCATGGACCATATTCAAGAAATAACGGAGGAATTTGCAGGATTGAGGCTACATGCTATTTTTCCATGAGGCCAATTGGAGGATTTTGCAGGATTGAGGCTACATCCTAGCAAAAAGGCCTAGGGAGTTAGGGATATATGACCAATCAGCCATCAGAAAGTGGTATGTCCTAAAAAGTCAAAATTAGCAGTGACAAATTTCGATTTTTTACTGAGCAAACATTTTTCAGACCAGTCCCATAGGGTTTGTGCACAGGGTGAAAATTGATGGCCAGATATGGGAATCTTTCCGGTATTGTAAGTTAGACACCCTTTAGCCACTACATTGTGTTCCTTGGCTTTTATATCTATCAGTTCGACAACAAGATTTTTTTTATATGAACGTTACTGGGGATATCATGAATAGAAAGTAATGATTTGAAATGTTTTTTTAAAATAATAAAAGGCATAATTTTAAATTAAAGCCTTGATGACTATTACTAATTTCAACGTAATGAAATCAAAAAACAATGAAAATATTGAGAAACATACATTTTTCCCCACTAAAATTTGTTTGTTAAAATAAAATAAAAATTCTCCACTGAAAAAAAAAGGGGGAAAAAAACCAAGTAGGCCCGATGAAGCACCATGCAAAACTCACCAATTTGTTTTTAATCCTCGAACAATACAGAAAAACAGACAACTATTCTGTTATCAAACACATAATTTTTTGGCATATCGCATTTCTTGTTGATAACACCCTGCCTTTGAAAGTTGTGTTTTAGTTGAACAGGCTAGGCCTACACTCGAAATTCGAAAAAAAAAAATTATCCCCAAAACTTATCTTGACATGTTCAACGTTGATTTTATATTCTTGTATATTCAATCACTCATTTTCAAGAAAACACTTCTTCTTTGGAAACAACCACGAAGTAATACAAATGGCCAGAGTAAGAACGTGTTGAAAAAAATCCACGGCCATGCGGGCATTGTGTCGGAAATGCACGGCTCATACATTCACCAAGTACAGTAACAATTATCACAAAGGGAAACATGTGCTACGTCACTGTAGAAAATCCCGCCGCCCGATATGGATGAATGAAGGTCCAACTTTACAACCCAAATTTACCCATTTCTACTCCACAAATCATACAAACCTGCTTGGCCCTCTGTACCGCGTCAGCAAAAGCTGATTTTCCGTCGTTGGAGATAGAAGCTGGGGGAGCGACGGCCTGAAAATCGGTCATTTTCGTCCTACTCTCGGAGTGCAAAATGGCCTCTCATCGGCACACAGATGTCGAGAATGCATGCACTGCTAATTTGCATATCATGCGCATGCAGTGACGCGTTTGACGTCATGGAAAAACGTTCCTAACAGCAGAGAGGGCGCTATGCATAATTAACGGCGCTAGTAAATAAACTGCCAAAGCACCCCGGTGATATTGATATCTCACTTCCAAAAATTCAGGAAAAATACTCCAAACTTTCCAAGGTATTTGAGACACACATCAAATTAAAGTTTACTTCATCATCTTATATTTTCTGTACTATTTTTGGGACTAATCCGCTAACTTTTGGGAGAACTTTCCGTCCAAAGATGTTCACCCCATACAATAGTCTTCAAAGAGCCCACTTTTTTTGTAAGAAACCCTCAAGTTCATGGTCCAAAAAATGCTCTAATAGAAAAAACAACTTTGTGATTTGGCCGGCGTGGGCAATCCGTAAGCCGACATGTTTGTTGCGCAAAAACATCCTAATTTTTTTTTTCAAAAGGTTACAGATGTCTGAAATCGAGTAAAAGTAATTTTTTTTAAAATAAAACTTACAAGTTGACCATCTGTTCAGACTGTTTCAAGGGGGAAAAGAAACCCTCAAATTTGTTGAGCAAATTCAGCAACAGTCCTTCTAACATGTCCAAGCAAATTAGTGGTTATATTGAGGGCAATATGTACAATTCAAAGTTTTCCTCCAAATAACCATAAACACAAAATCATATTCAAGAAGGCAAAAAATGACAATTATTACACTGTAGAGACATATTTGTAAGTTTATTACATTTCTTTTCTTTTCAAGGCATATTTTTGATAATTCGTAATTATACTTTTCAATTCAGTAATTTCGTACATAACAAATTTTAAGATTCTAGATGCTCTGTTGTGCGATATGAGGCAATTTCTGACCACTTTTTTGAGGAAAAAATGGTGGTGTACACGGTGGCGACGTCACTTAAAAAAAAAATTGGGTTCGTTTTTGGCCACTGGATCCACCGTTGTTAAGTTATTCTACTACATCATACAAAAAACTTCTGTAGACTACACAAAGATTGTAAGTATACCTCTGGTAAACTAATGTCTAAACTGTGAAAATGATGAACACAGCTAGAATATATGGGATGATTATGTGCCACACTTTTTCAAGCATTCTGGTGATCTTATATAAGACAGTCAGCATAAAAAAATGAAATAAAAAAAACCACATTAAAAACAATAAGGCCAGATATTCTGGAGCCAATAGTTTTATTGTGATTGTTTTTTTTTTAATAATCTGTCTTTTTACATGCAACTTGGATTTAAAGCCCAGCACTGGGCTAGAAAAAATAAACAAGATGGGTACCTTGTGCCATGCAACAAGAAGTTTGATATATTTCAAGTTTGGTACAAGACCTCTGATTGTCTACCTCTTGGAAATGTTATAACTGTGAGTTTGAACACTTTGCATAAGAACTGAGAAAATGTTTACAAATTCAACTTGAAGGCGCTCTTTTAATAACGTAGATGACACACACTTTTTTCACAGAAACTGGAGACTAGAATTCTCTCGGAACTCACAAACACAAATACATGTGTATATTTTAAATACAAAATAAAAGACACTAGGACGACTCAAGTTGCTTTCTCAAAACTCAAGACGGTCCCAAATAGAAAATGCTGCACGATAGGAAACTTCTGTAAAACCTGAAAATACAAACAAAACGAAAAGACAAACGTCAGTTACACAAATTGAAGAACAACTTAAGTAAAATTATGAAAAACAGAATGAAACAGTCACTTTAAACTCAGTGATTTTTATACTGGTCTAGAAAGACCTGAAACTTCACGAGACAGACTTGTCCAGATTGACATGAGACTTGACCAGAGTAACTTGACCAGATTGACATGAGACTTGTCCAGATTGACATGAGACTTGACCAGAGTAACTTGACCAGATTGACATGAGACTTGACCAGAGTGACTTGAGACTTGACCTGAATGATCTGAGACTTGACCAGAGTGGCTTGAGACTTGACCAGAGTGACTTGAGACTTGACATGAATGATCTGAGACTTGACCAGAGTGACTTGAGACTTGACCAGAGTGACTTGAGACTTGATCAGAGTGACTTGAGACTTGACCAGATTGACAAGAGACTTGAACAGAGTGACTTGAGACTGGACGTGAGTAACTTGAGACTTGACCAGAGTGACTTGAGATTTCACCTTTAAGACTTACCTCTGCTTTGTACATCTTGACGAGTCCTGTGTTAATCTTCTCCCAATAAGGTACCGACGTCATCCCCCAGAGAGTTGGTGAATGCTCAAAGAATGGCCCTGTCTTGCACTGGACAATCACACAAAGAAACAGAGTTGCTCTCAAGTTATCACAAGTCATGACAAGTTATAACAAGTCACAACAAATCATCATAAGTCATAACAAATCATCATAAATCATCACAAGTTATCACAATCATCACAAGTCATGACAAGTCATCACAAGTCATCATCAGTCATCACAAGTTATCACATGTCACCACAAGTCATAACAAATCATCATAAGTCATAACATATCATCATAAGTCATCACAAGTCATCACAAGTCATCATAAGTCATCACAAGTCATCATAAGTCATCACAAGTTATCACAATCATCACAAGTCATCACAAGTCATCACAATTTATCACAAGTCATCTCAGGTATCACAATTCATCACAAGCCATCACAAGTTATCACAAATCCTAACAAATTATCACAAGTTTCACAAGTCATCACAAGTCATTTTAGGTTAGCACAATTCATCACCAGTCATCACAAGTCATCTAAAGTCATTGCAAGTTACTACAAGTCATCACAAGTTATCATAAATCATATCAAATTATCACAAGTTTCACAAGTCATCACAAGTCATCACTAGTCATCACAAGCCATCACAAGCAATCACAAGTCATCACAAGTCGTCACAGATCAATCACTAGTCAATCGCTATCCAGTGCCCAGTCAAGTTACAAGTTATTCGATTGAACTATGACAACAGAATCATGTTTCTTCCCACTTTACTTGTGATTTGACTTGAGATTGATTGTGATTTGAATCGAGATTGACTCGCAATAGATGATGGACTGATTGGATAAAGTGCATCAAATTAGGTTTTGCCCTTCACCGACGTTTAAACACTGTACAGTGTGTTACCTCCCGAGTGAAAGATGGAAAAATCACTCGGGTGGGACTCGAACCCACGACCTCCTGCTTTCTAGTGCAGATGTCTTACTACTCGACCACCGAGCTAACGGGATCGGTTGGCTGGTTCGAATCTGATGTACATAGCAGCGGGTACCGCATAAACTATTATAAGATGGAATTGAAGGGCAAAAGGGCAAAACCTAATTTGATTTATATCACCCCGACGCAACATCCCATCTTATAATGGATAAAGTGCATTGAACGATCCATCAGCTCCATTATGAAGAATAAGTAGAAGAGTTACTGAAATGGTGCATCTTACTTCATGGATGTATCGAATGCATTCCATGAACATGTACTCTTTGCTGTGCTCAACTGCCATTTTCTGTTCACTGAAATCTTTCGGCAAGAGTGGTGCATGAGCTGCAATAAAAAGTAATAAGTCCATTTTATTTGCCAATGCCAATAAGCCATTTGCGAGGTAAATTTGAATAAAATCTGGAACGCTCAATCCAATGCATTTTTCTACTAGAAGCATTCTCCCGACCAAAGAGACTGTTACTATATCACGTGATTCGGGGCACGCCTTATGCTAGCGACCCCCAGCTCCGGCATGGTCTGGTGTCTTTGTGCCATTCTCAGCCATTGTGAACAACGTATTGGTGCTGAGTGCCTTTTTGTAGCTATGCAAGAGCTTGCCCCGAATCATGTGATTAGCAACAGTGTCTTTGGTCTGCAGAATTCAAAGTTAAAATGTGCCCAGCATTCTGAGCAAGTCAGTGTAAAAGATGTTTTTCAAAAGTAAATCCCAAAGGGTATAGGTTACTCGCAAATGGCTTATTGGGTTTTTTAATTCACTTTTATTTCATGGCTTGTATACTATTTCTTAAAAACATGTATAGTCGACATATTAAAGACTACAAATATCAATAAATCTGAAAATAAAAAAAATAAAAAAAAAAAAATCAATGTTTTTTTGCATTTTTCTTCACCAGTCTGTGCCAAGTTTGGTCTCATTTGTGTTGGAATGCCTCACAATTGTGTGTATGTTCATCTGGAATACAGCTTACAAATCGTGGAGTGCTGTGGCCTCGTGGTTAAGGGCACTGATTTGTGGTCTGTGGGTAAAGCTGCCGGTTGTGGGTTCGAGTCCAGCCCGGTCATGGTGCGTGTGCCCTTGGGCAAGGCACTTTGTCACTCATTGCTTCTCTCCACCCAGGAGTAAATGGGTACCTGTGAGGGCAGAGATGGTGATTGAATAAGCTTGCTTGCGCCTAACAGGCAGCATCGAGCTGTATACTCCCCAGGGAGCTGAGATGGTATTTGGAATGTTTAATTGGCCCAATGATCAGGGGTAATGATAATACTGTAAGCGCTGTGATTTAGTTTACTAATAAGAGCGTTCTTAAATGCCGATCTACTCACTTGTTAGCTGTGCACTGCCCCAGATGTAGGGTATAAATTGAAAGTCGTCCAGTCCCCACACGCCGTGACTTCCTGCCGGTTCCATGTGGTACCACGTTTGTAGTCGTCTGGTTACCTCTAAGTACCTGGGATTGAGAGTACAGAGCATGAAAAAGAATTCACATATGTGGCCGGCTCCACTAAAAAGGGTATTAAGTCGCGCTGAGCATTATTGTGTAATGGCCTGTTCAACATTGAGAGGGTGAAAATTTCGTCAAAATGTGATCTTCATTTTTTGTCATAATGACATCTTTAATACCTACAGTTTCAGGTTTCATTCACATTTTGTGTGCATCGTTCTGTTGTTCTATAACAAAGCCAGCTATTTCAAAGCCTGTTTTCTCAGTTGTGTAATTTGAACTCTAAGGAAGTAATTAATATGCAAATACCTCATATCTCCAGAACGGGAGGGGCTATGGAGCTCTATTATATACCAAGTGAAAGCTTACATTGTCGGCTTTCCAACCATGTATATTTATAACTCAATCTCACTTTTTTGCGACATAATACCCTTTTTTGTGGAGCCGGTCACATATACCTAAGACAGTTTACCCATTCCAATTGGTCGAGAGCCCGTCACATGGCCGGTCTTAAATGAATGATAAAGACATGGCTGGCTGGTCTTTTCCAGTGTCACATGAAATTTGACTTGTACGAAATCCAGTGCCTTTTACCGTTCTATTGGTTGAACGTTCACCATCCTCACAAAAGCATGGGCAATACTACCAGTGAGTCAGTATTTCATAGTCTGAAATTCACCACGCACTCACCACAGCTGCATCCACTCGTCAGCGCGCAGTACGTAGGATGCGCGTGCCAATTTCCATAAAAGGAGTTATTTACGTCTTACTCGCGAGCTGGACACAACATTATAGCTAGAGGGGTGTTTTGAAAAACAGAAAGCAAAATGGTCGAACAATATTGTTGGAAAATTTCAATTTTAGACTTGTTTTGACTGTAGGACCGAAAAGTTTGGATGTTTTGCCCCAAAAAATATATGAATGGTAATAAAAATACGTGCTTGGTCGGTATTAAACACTGTGTTTAAGACTGGTTGGAGTCTGGAATGCTGATATTTACCCAAGGCAAATATTCGCATTCCAATATTCAATGAGATTTTATTTTTTCAGAGTTGTTGGACAAATAATGTAGGAAAAAGTAGAAATTTCAAGAAAAACAGTCAGAAAAGTTGGAGCAAGGTAAAACGAAAAAAAACTGGACAAAGGAAAAGTCGGAATAGTCGAAGGCTTGCCTTGGGTTGGAACCTCGCTTGTTTAATTTTACTTTCTTCCCAAAATGCAACTAAGGTCTCAAAACTTGTTTCAAAGAAATCACTGCTAGTTGTGCTACCTTTTAAAAACTCCCAGTGCAACTTCCATGGACTCAGCTTCTGTTAGGACCCGTAGTTTGTACAGGCAGCACAGGAACGCTGCGTAGTTCATCTCGTGGCCGGAGCCGTAGTCTATCCGCGTGGCGTTCCCGAAGCCGTCGTTCAGGTAGCCCTTGAGTTCCCGGACAGCTGGGTGTTGCTCCTCGGGCACAACTGCTTGGATTAACGATTCCGAACTCTGCAGAGGGATGAGAGTTAAAGGCAACATACAACATTTGCAAACATCAAAAAATGAAACTACCACATTATGATGAAATGCCTTACTTGACTGTAAGTGAATAATACAGGCATGCAACTTGGAGTTAACAAAAAACGAGGAAATTCCAATCTTTACAAGACATTGATCCGAGGAAAAGTTGCATGCCTGATAATAGTCTCAAGCATTCTGTAAAATCATGGCACCTGGTGTGCTGTCATTTTCAAGAAAAGTGGGATTTTTGTATCAATTTCCAACGATGGTCGGTCGACCATCGTTGGGAAAACTGGCTTTTTTCAAATACTGCCTCAAATTTACCAAATTTAGTCAGTCCACATTTTGTTTGCAATCGGTTACACATCTGTGAACGGGTGCAAGCCAGCTAGACTGGTTCCCTGACCTTACAATTCCCTGACGGCTTTAAATTGCTCTGTTTCATCTGATGTGGGGTCAGGGAAGCAGACATTTTTCTTTTTTCATTGTTTTCCAGCATCTATAAACAGGTCAGTGTAACGGTATTTGCTATAAAATACTAACCCCAAATTTATCCATTTCTGAGAATTACAGCAAAAGCAATGCTTTATATTCCCATTATAATGGTCCAGTGGTAACTATATTTGACTCATGTACGATGGTGCGAGGGTTCGAACCCGGCCAGGAACATGGTGTTTGTGCCCTTGGGCAAGACACTTAACAACAATTCTCTCCACCCTGGAGAAGGCGGGTGAAAAAAAATTGATTAAATTGCGGAGAACTTCAATTGCTAATGACTTACTTCACATAGTTTCTTGTGCCAATCTCTGTAAGCTTTGTTGCCATAGCGCTGTGGTTGGTCCGTGGGAGGCATTTCATCCATCCACGTGTTTAAAGTGTCCAGCATCTCGATCAGTTTCTTGCAAATCTGCAGCCAAAGAGTCAAATACAGGATGAATGAAAAAAAAAATGGAACCCAAATATCCAAAAATATATTTCATATTTAAACAAACTATGTAGCTAGCACCAACAATAATAATGACTGAAAAGCCAATTTCATGCACTACTGTAAAATGAAAAAATTACTTAAATTGCTCGATCCATTCAAAGAATATCACCATTTAAACACAATAACCCTTAAACCGCTTTCGTCCAAAATTGTGATTTCAAGAATCGTCGGGAACAATTGTCATCAAAGATCACCAGCGATAAATCTTCAGTTTAATATTTAAAAATATCCAAGAAAGTCCTTTGGAAGGCCTGTCTTTTGGAAAAAGGTGTATTTTATAAATCATATTGTTTGCCCGAGTAGGGCTGTTAATAAAGATATTGTGTACCACAGTTGTTGACAGTTATGAAACAAGATTATTCTGTGTCATTTTCTTTGTGAGTCAGAACACGCAATAAATTGTTTTTTTTTTGACGAAACAGGTTTCAGGGTCATTGCGTTTAAATGGTGATATTCTGCGAACGGATTGAGCAATTTCAATAATTTCTTCATCTAAAAGTAGTTTCTGAAATTGGCTTCCCAGTCATTATTATTTTTGGTGCAACATTTTTTTTCAAACAAAATATGAAATATGTTTTTTTGGGGATTAGGTTTTTCCTCTTTTCGACTCACCCTGCATAAAGTTCAAAAATATAAAATAATGGGAAGTTTGAATTCTGCTGTCAACAGCCACAAATTTACTTTTTAGACAGAAAAACTTACCTCGGAACTAGTAGTACACTCTGTGATTTTTTTGCCCTTTACAGACGTGTTCACTAACATGATGAAACCCATGAAATCTTGGTATGCCTGAAGACGACAATCAAAAAATTAAACAAGGAAGACGTAATCAAACTTGTGTAAGGAAAGAAGGGTTGTTTAAAAGGAAAGAAATTCTTTAATGTTTCCTAAATATTAAAGTAAACAGAGGTCAAATTGTTGGTTTTCTTGGGTATTAACCCAGTCATAGGAACGCCTTAGTTTTATACTGGTCAAGTACCAAGTGTATTGCGGTTAACATTGAGGCTGTTAATGAAGGTCAAGTACCAAGTACATTTAGGTCAAGTAATAAGTGTATGAAGTCAAGTACACACTACGTATACAGTGGTCAAGTGCTAAGTATACAAGAGTCAAAGTAACATATGTGCATTTGGGTCAAGTACTAAGTGTACTAAGAGTACTAAGGTCAAATGCATGCTAAATGCATGGAGGTTAAGTGCTAACAATATGGGAGTCAAGTACCAAGTGCATTTAGATCAAGTCCTAAGTGAATGAAGTCAAATACATGCTATGTTTACAGTGGTCAAGTGCTAAGTATACGAGAGTCAAAGTAACAAGTGCATTTGGGTCAAGTACCAAGTGTACTAAGAGTACTAAGGTCAAATGCATGCTAAATGCATGGAGGTTAAGTGCTAACTATATGGGAGTCAAGTACCAAGTGCATTTAGATCAAGTACTAAGTGAATGAAGTCAAATACATGCTATGTATACAGTGGTCAAGTGCTAAGTAAACGAGAGTCAAAGTAACAAGTGCATTTGGGTCAAGTACTGAGTGTACTAAGAGTACTAAGGTCAAATGCATGCTAAATGCATGGAGGTTAAGTGCTAACTATATGGGAGTCAAGTATCAGTGCATTTAGGTCAAAGTACCAAGTGCATTTGGGTTAAGTACCAAGTGTATGGAGGTCAAGTGCTAAGTGTATGAAGGTCAGGTACTATACTCTAGACATCTTGCTGTGCCTACCTGAGATTTCTCCCATGCTGCTACATGTTCAACGCTTTTTATTCTTTTAATTGGGTCGATGTACTGATGGCTAGTCTCTGCTCCAGCCTCCAAGGCAGTTTCAGAATTAGGAGACGACATTGTGAGCACCCTGAAGTGAGAACAAGCACATTAAAAAAATTCAGTTTTAAAATGTTTACAATTTTTTGTGACTCTACTACATTGTTTGGTTGCTCGAAAAAAAGAAAAGATGGCAGGCGATCACCGTGATGTACTGTGAACACGCAAGGTGTGCTGAAACCAGCTCAAATTGCCCAAGAAACTGCACAAAATTAACAAAAAGGAGTGTCATTAGATATGAGAGGAGTCTACTTTCATGACTTTAGATTGAAAAAGTTTTTATTTTAATGATTAAAAACACTGGAGAAAATTTTGCAACCTGACGCTACTTTCAAAAACAGAAAAAAAGATATTTTTTTTGCTTATTTTGTACCTCATACTCATAGAGTATAGTTTTTGTAAGAACTGTAAGCATGGTAAGCAATATGTTGATAAAGTCTTTATAGAGATTTGTATAATTGTAGGCGAATGTGTGGCCAACTTACATAGTGAATTTGTACATGTTGAGATACAATATAAGTTGTAGGCCCTAAGCCAAACAAAAAATAAAAATCATTTTTTCTGTTGCGAAAGTAGCGTCAGGAGGATGCCACATTCTTTCCAAAAACACCCTTGAATCTTATTTGATGAAAATTAAAGAGGAACCCCTGACAGCACAATAAATCATTAAATGGGCGGGCATGCATTACTTCCAACAACATGTCCACGTACTAGGGGTGATGGCATGGCACACTGCACAATAGCTGGAGTTACCCAGCCCTGAATTTTATCATTGGGTTGTCATCTAGGTGACAACCCAATGATAAAATTCAGGGCTGGGTAACTCCAGCTAACTGCACAACTAGTACTACACAGTCATGTCATGACAGTTTAATCCAAAATATATTCACATAGCACTATTAGCAGTATGGACCTACTTGAGGCTTAACTGACAAAAAACGCACCGAATTATAAAAACATTTAATCGCATGCTTATCAGTAGGCACGTTACCTTTGTTTTTAGCTAGTAAAACCTTGAGAAAAAGAGGTAATTGGCCCGGAAAATTCGGCCCACTGGCCCTGCTTGTGACCTCTTAATTTAATTGCGCCCTCAAGAGCTAGAGTCTCATAAAGACTTAAAAAGAGAACTTCAAACTAAAGGGCGACTAAAACAAGTCTACTCAAGAATATGACCTTTATTTCACCTTTAATAATTTGCATAGATCTATCTGCAGTGCAATCGGCCCTTATCACAAAAATTTTAAGCAAACATTTTGCCCTTTTAAACCTCATCGGGCTGTAAAAAGAGCGGCAATGCTGTCTAGTGTAGCTAGGCATTTTGTAAGTGAGATTTATTTGTGTCATTTATCTTGTTTATAGCCTCTTTTGTTTCATGAAAAATGTTTTTGTGGCTGCATTGTTGAGCCCCCTTTTTTGTTGACAAACATGTTTCCAACTGCCTGTGGTTGAACATGTTGAAATGTTCAGTGCATTCGGCACAGTTTTGATGCGTAGACTCGTAGTATCCTACTACGTTTTGTCATGTTTGTACTTTTGTGTGTGTGTGTTTGGTTGGCAATTGGGCTAAGACTAGTCTAGACTAAATGAGGGTGTGCATCATATTTTCGGAGAGATCCCCATACCGTATTACCATGCATATAGGCCTACTGGGCCATCAACTCAGACCTCCTGCACAAAGTCTATGGGCCATGGCAGAACAAAGTTAAAAGTATTCAAAAGAATTTTTGCACTCCTTATATTGTGTTTCGGAAAAAATTCCATCCTGGGCCACCACTCATATTCCATAGCTAATAATATGACCTGAAAAGTACCAAAAGTTGTAAATCTGAAGAAGAAACACCGTTTAAGGAGTGAAAAAATTCTTTGATAATACTTTAAAATGTTCTGTCATGGCCCATAGACTTTGTGCAGGAGTTTTGAGTGGTGGCCCAGTATGGAACTTTTCCCTTTTGGACCCCACACAGATAGTTCTAGCTTTGATCTGCAGGAGGTTTCCAATTATCAAATAATTCTTATTTACTCCTATATCCTGTCCACAGATGCGGCAATCTGCCAACATCAGCCCCATGGCCAAGGCCGCAGAGAAGACCGCCGCAATGCTGGGCCGTAAGCAGGCCCAGCCAGGCCGGATGTTTGCCCATCAACAGTCCCTGTCTCGTCTGCCCGTCCCTCCACTCCAACAGACGCTGTATAAGTACCTGCTGGCCGTCAAGCCTATACTGAGCGAGGAGGATTATGAGGCGACGAAGAAGGCGAGTAGAGCACATTTGTTTTTCTCACGTCTGTGACTTGATAGATTAATTACTATTTCTGGTAATGAAACCAAAGATTCCTAAAAAGTGTCCTAGGCACTCACAGCCTGAAGAAACCTGTAGAGAGGAGACAGTGAGAAGAAATTACAGTTTTAGAGGTGGGAGGAAAACCCCAGAAGAATATTCTGGGGAAAACCCATGGAATCAGGTAGGGACTGAAAACCCCTTCATCTTGTGGATCGGGGCAGGAATCGAACCCGAGCCATAAGGCGAAAGCTTGAAGTATTGGGTATTGTCATTACAGGAAAATGACTTGACTTGTCTCGAGTCACTCCGAGCTAATGACTTGAGTTGACTAGACTTTGAATCAAAAGCAGGGATGTACTGCAGTTGATTCTATCACAGTGGATGAACAATAAGAAAGGAATGCCTTTGTTAAAGCTCAGTTGAATAATTCATGATTGGACTTGGGACTGGAGAACTTGTGATGGACTTGTGATGGACTTGTGATGGACTTGCAGGGACTTGTGATGGACTGGACCACAACTTGGTACTTGGTACTTGGTTGGTTTCCTCCTGAAAACATCCACTTGGAATCTTAGCTAGGAGGGGGATCTTGGCTACAACTCTTGGGATCTTGGGATCAACCTTTGTTAAAGGCTTGTGAACAGTGCAGTGAACTGTGACAACAGTCTAATCTCTGAAATCATGAAAATATTGCAGTGACTTCTTTCATAAAGCTACAAGTTACATCAAACACAGTAAGGATGCTTGCATTTGCAAGGCTATGTGATGATACGTCTACAACAGGCTCATACCTAGTGCTATTACAAAATTATCATCTCTGAACCAGAATTAGAAAAAGGCATTGACATTTACCCATTTTCAGCTTTACATTTGGGCAATTTCAGCGTTATGTAATGTCTGTGACAGTATTTAAGAGCTCAAGTGAAAAAAACTTCAAAATGTTTTTTTTTTCTTCAAATCTTATACATCTATCATCTAGTAATGGTCAAGGAGATTACAGACTAGGAGTTTTGGATCATTTCTCTGAATCATTAATTAGATGTAATGGTTAATTGGCTCTGTCACAGACATAACGCTGAGCTTTGGAATTGCCCATTCAGGAATTAAGGCTTTATTTAACAAAGTTAATACTTTGATTTTCAGATTGTGACTGAGTTTGGCAAACCAGGCGGCTATGGAGAGTCACTACAGATGGCACTGATCCAAAGATCCCAGAAAATGGACAACTGGGTAAGTCACAAGTAAATGACATATGAATAGTTTTTACGTGGTTTGATGAGGTTTGATGAGGTTTTACGATGTTTCACGATGTTTTACAGAGTAGGCCTATCTTGTGCAGGCTTTCAAGCAGACCCAGGTGAAAAAGTACGAGAACAGTATGATCAAAATCGTCTTGTTCAAGGGGCGCTAGTTAGAAGCCACAAACTGGCACGGCTTTTTATAACAAACTTGTAGTTTATTTGAAAAAAAGAATTAAGTGTTTATTTGATTGGTTAAAACTTTTTTGGTTATAAACGTTGCAAAATTACAGCTGTCGGAGTGGTGGCTACACAAGGCGTATCTTGAGTTCCGATCGCCCGTGGTGTTGCACGTTAGTCCCGGCGTGGTGTTCCCCCGCGAGGACTTTAGGGGCGTCGACGCTCAGCTTGAATTCTCGGCCAGGTTCATTGCCGGTGTCTTAGATTTCAAACAATTGATAGACAGGTAAGAATCTGATGATTTTAACTGTAATGTTGAAGTTGTAACAATATACGAATATTACATTGTTTGAGGGTGGATATAGTGATTTTAGCCTCCTGAGTTGATTATATGCATGAGGTATAGTAATAGTTTTTCCATTGTGATAATGAGATTACTATAAAAAAAAGTTAAATTATTCTATTAAAGGGAGTAGAGTTTAATCCTAACTTGCCCAAATCTCCCAAATCGTCTTTGCAAAAAGGAAGATTTTGCAGGATTGAGGCTGTATCACAAATGTGTGGCTGATGTTGGAGGATGCACTGTGTCAAGGTCTTGGGCCGGACCTTGTGTTGTTTATGCTCAGCCGTGCATAAATGTAAGCCTAGATTATACTTGAAATCCTCTGTACTGCTCCAGGATGTCACTGGCTCTGCCTCAACATATTGACAGTGATTGCTGGAGGATTTTGCAGGATTGAGGCAGTGGTCACCCCTCCAAGGACCACATTCAAGAACTAACAGAGGATATTGCAGGATTGAGGCTGTATGCTATTTTTACATGGAGGCAATTGGAGGATTTTGCAGGATTGAGGTTGCATCCTCGCACAAATGCCTAGGGAGTTAGGGTTAATAAATATGTGCATGACTTTGTAAGATGTATAATTAACATTCAAAATCAAAGTTTGGAAGAAACAGAATTGTTTTTATTTACTACAAAGTTGCACCCCGTATTTATTTTGTGTGCATACTCACAGTGTGTGTTCACCAGCTTACAAGATTAACCTATAAATATATGCCATATCATAAAGTAAATAACATCCAGTGATATAGTGCGTGTACCTTATTTTCGTGTTCGGTCACCGAGTTGAACATGCCAGCTATGACAGGGCAAAGAACTTTTCTATTAGAAAAATCTGAACCGAGTTGCGGGGACTTTTTTGTGATGCCAGAGTTCCCAGCCATATAGGAAATCAGGGAAAACTTTGAATTTGAATTTCCATTTTTCCTGTAAGGGAAAAGTCACGAAATTTGGGTGAAAAACACCAAAATCAGGGAAAACTCAGTGACCCAAAGAGAAATGCGTATTGTGCCATGTGTCCATGTTGTGTTCGTTGACTGACTGGCTATGGTGGCTTTTTAAGTGTTTTTGTAGTGTGAATATAATATCAATTGGCTGTGCTACACCACCTCTTGACTTTCCAGCAACCTCATTAAAACCCTAACTCCCCAGCCTAATTGACTACGAACCATACCCATCCAGGCAAATTCCAACACTCACATGGGAAATTGTACACACACACTGTTGGACTTAGTTTCTGGAGGTATGCCAACCCCAGTGTAAAAGACCATCTGTTTAGGGGAACTGTACCTATCCCAACAGATTTAAACACCAACCTGCTGTTGAACTTTGATGGGTTGTGTTCGGTTAGGGATAATTATTAAAGTGACAATTTTCCTCAATCCTTATGGAATTTTGGTAAATTCCCAAGGAAATATCAGGGAGAACTCAGGGCCCGAATTTTGTTTTCATAAAGTGCTTGGAACCCTGTCTGTACAGCTAGTGTGTGGTATCCACATCTCCAGAAAAAAAGTTTGTGTGTACTTTTCAGTTTGTACCCAGCTATCATTAAAGCTATAGTCCATCATTTGTAGCCATCCGAAAAGTAACTGGCATAATTATTGTTGAAAAACATACTTGGGTGAAAGATAGTAAGGGGACTAAACTCCCTGTGAAATTATTCTTTCTGGCAAGCTGTCATTTTAAAGTAATCAACGAAAGAAGGCCTTTCCAACGGTGCGTCTTAAAACACACCGTAGGAAAATTTAAATTAGCATTGGCTCGACGCACACGCGCGTGGGGTTGCTATAATTTGTCGGATCAGTGCGCGACATCGCGTATAGCTGCAATCGGCTCAGTGAGAGCGCGTCTCGGACGCTGAATTCAGGCCCAATTCAAAACAACTTTTGATTTGAAATTGAGATCCTAGAATGCTGTTTTTTCTCGGAATATACAGCTGAAGCTGAGCTGAAACTTCATCAGGTTAGTTGTTCAGTATCCTTCATTAGATTTTGAACACTTTTGTTGCTTCAAACGAACAAAATGCACAAATTACAAATGATGGACTATATCTTTAAATCAACACTACATATTTGTGCTAAAGGCACTTCATGGTGTACTGTTCCACATACTCTGTTTAGATTTACAGAGTGCAACTTGTTAATTTGCCCTGCCTCTGATACAGTTTAATGAACGTTCACAATATTTCAATTTTGCGAATAATCCACAAAGGGAAACTGGCTAGGTGATCCCGGGCCC